GCCTCTACAGACGCTTACCAGACCGTCTATAAACATTTCTGGCTGGGGACTCGGCTCTGATCTGGCTGTGATCGTCGTCCTGCTGCGACGTAAAATAATTCCTGATGTCACTTGGGGGCGGACGTTAAATTGCCTCTTGATCAGCCAGATCATCCGAGTGGAAGGCTCGTCGGCGTACGAGGGTAAATAAGAGTGTTGTGGCTGCCTTGCTCGACGATAACCCGGGGCACAGGGGTGGGACCGGATTGCACACCTTCAGACACGTTTGACCTCATATGCTTAGGGACGTGACACCGTGACATTGAGAAGAACTGTGGGAGGGGTAGGTTCCAGGTGATAAGTTCGGGTTTAAATTCCACGCTATGAACAGACCCAGTCAGTCAACATTATTTTTATTTTGATTAGTTAGATGGACAGTCATGTGACATCTGACAGACAGCATTAGTTTAGAATATTGTTTATTCTTGATGCTTCCTCTGTTTGAGAACTAATCTTACTAAAAATAGTATTGACGGTAGGAATCTGACTTACCTGTTGACCCCAAATGAGATCTGTCCAAAGTAGCCACCATTAAATAGTTGGTTTGTGCACTATGCTGCGGTAGACATCCTAAATGGTCTAGTGTAGGCGGTGCACAGTGTTGTAGCCTATGAGCGACAGTGAGGACACCGGAGAGGACGACCGCAGGATCTTGCGATCAGCTAGAGGCCAGATAACTCACGTGTCCCTAGGACCGGGGGGTGATAGGGAACTGTTCCGCCGGCAGCGGGAGAGGCAGCAGCAGAGGAGAGCTAGAGCAGCCGAGGCCAGCAGGGCATTAGCTAGCGAGGCCGGTGCTACAGCAGCCATGGCTACCACAGCCATGGGCACGTCTGCGCAGCAGACTTCCCCAACCGGAAGTTCAGGTACCACCGGGTCTACGGTCGCGCAGACCGTGAGTCAGTCCACTGGCTTAATGGCAAGCCAGCCCGCGGTGTTGACCCCAGAGGATGTCGCCATCCAGCAGGCAGCCCTGCAGGAGGCACAACTACAGCAGGCTTTAGGACAGATAAAAAGGGAAAAAGAGATGATGATTAGAAGAAAAAACAGGATACAACGGAGAGGGACAGACATAGAGGAGTTAGAGACGATGGACCTGACGCATATGGATGATGATGTGAAGGTAGTTAGGAGGGCCCTGCTAGGCGTAATTGAGATGCAGGAGCATCAAACTACCATCCTTCAGGACATTCAACAAAGCCTAGCCATGTTGGCAGGCCGCGCTCAGGCAGCACCATCACCAGCAGGGCCTGGTGCCTGGCCCGTGCCATATCCTCCTCCTTCTGTTCCACCGGTGACTGGGGTATCCCCATATGTAGCCCCGTCATCGGTTGCTATTGTTTCCCTCGGCATGCCTCTGTCAGGAGGGGTAACAGCAGGGAGTAGTTTACAGGTTCCTGTACAGACAGTGTTTTCTCCAAGTCCGTCACAGGTTGCAGTCACCACACAGCCTGCTGTCTCGCAGCCAGTGCAGCCTCAGGGCTCACAGCCCCAGCAGCTAGCACAGCAACCTGTTTCACCGGGTCCACAGCCTGGAATGATGCAGGGACCGGGACAGACACAGTGGGTTCCAAAGACGGCCATCGCCGCTCCCAAACCTTTTACAGGGGACAAGAGAGGCGAGGACCTTGACACATGGTTGAGGGCAGCGCCAGTCTACGTTAGGTGCAAACTCACCTTGCCGCACGAAGAAGTGTTTGTGGCTGCCTCCTACCTTGAGGGTAGTGCAGCAAGATGGTTGAGTGGTCTAGTACAACTTCAGGGATACGGTCATGACTTCCGCGCTTGGGCGGCCTCCCAGAAATTGGAGGACTTCCTGAAGATGGTGGAAGAGAGGTGGCATGATCCTCAGGAGGCTCAAAGGGCCCCTGACGCGATCCTGACACTGCACACACGGCAGTTTAAGTCAGTAAGAGAAGCCACCGACGCTGTTGAGCGTTTGATCTGTGTCCCTGGGGTACGCTATGATCCTCAGGTCCTGTTGACCCATTACCTGAGATGTTTTTCACAGCCTCTCAGGAACCAGTTGGCAAAAGAGGCCAACATCAATATGCACAACTTTCCTTCGTTTAGCAAGGTGGCCCTAGACCTGGAAGCAAAGATAGGGCATGGACAGGCACCCACTACGGAGGGGAGAAAGAAGACACTGCCTCCCAACTGGAAGGCGAAGGGTCGCTTAATGTTTGTCGACAATGATGGTTCAACCATCGAATTGGACGGCAACTTCCAGGAGGGAGTAGGTGCAGAGTAAGGTGACGAAACTTCAGAGGGTGGAGTAGTCGCCGCCGTAACCCAACAAAAAGGTAAGGGGATCGGTAGACGCCGAGGAGGCTCCCGGTCTAGGAATCAAGTTGACCCCAATACTCCTACATGGGAGAAAGCAGGTCTTTCGGAGGACGTGTGGAGAGATCGGTGGAATCGCCAAGCCTGCATTCGTTGTGGCCAATACGGCCATAGCCAGTTCAAATGTAGGAATAAGAAGGTCACCGATAAGATCCCGCCTACTATGGGGCAGGCGGTAGGATCCTCATCTCCCGTAGGTAGCAATGTTGCTAGTTCGTCAGGCACTGCTCCGGGAAACACGTCATGCCAGTAGGAATAGTAGTTGTTCCTACTAGGGACGAGGTGGTGGAGACACCCTCGCCATCTCGCATCATGGCCCAAGCTACTGATTCCCTTGTCGTCCCGCAAACGCATTCAGACCCATCGACCCTTTGCTCGATGAATGTGTTTGAGTCCTTAGAGGAGCTAGAGGAGGAGTGGTTTAGATTAGACCCGCTAGCTTCTTGGACGGCACTAGCTAAAGCCCCGAAGGGTGAGATGTTCGTCAGCGAGATAGTCGTAGGCGGTCGCAAGGCCCGGGCCTATTATGACACTTGCTCGACACGAAACTTTATTAGTCGCGCGTGTGTTGAGAGGCTGCGTTTACAGGGGCAAGTGCAGCGCCTGAGTCGACCTGTGGAGTCGACCTGTGCCAACAAACAGCGCATGGTAGTCCATGACTACCTTCAGGATGTGGAATGCCTGTTCCCGTTCGCGGGAGGGGAGTTGAGGCATCGTGTCTCATTCCTAGTGAGAGACGATCTCCCTATGGATATCTTGTTAGGTATGTACTACCTCTTTGTAGCACAGCCCCAGTTTGACTGGGACCGAAAAGTGGTCAAGCACACTTTGCCAGGTGGAGGGACCGCCAGATTACACAAGTTCAAAGCTAGTAGTCTGATCGATTCCCATGGATGCATGTGTGCGGCCGCATTCTATAAATACTATAAGCAACATTAGGAGGAGGGTATGTACTTAGTATATGTCTCTGCTGCAGGCGAGATGGTGAAAATGCCGCCGGAGATAGAGCGAGTAGTTGCCAAGTACCCTGATCTATTTGAAGAGCCAACAGGGGTTGTTGATAGGGAGGTCGTCCACGTGATAGAGATTATCCCAGGGTCTACTATTCCGAAGGGTAGGATCTATCGGATGTCTCCAGGCGAGCTTGATGAGCTTCGCCGCCAACTCAAGGAACTCAGAGAGAAGGGTTGGATCCGGCCGAGTGTCTCTCCTTACGGATCTCCAGTACTATTCGTACCTAAGAAGGAGGGCACTCTCAGGATGTGCATTGACTATAGGGGCCTCAATGCCATCACTGTGAAGAACAGAGAGCCCCTACCGCGCATCGATGATCTGTTAGATAGAGTGCAAGGGTGTCGGTACTTCAGTAAGATAGATCTGAAATCCGAGTACCATCAGATTGCAATCTGGCACGAGCATCAACACAAAACCGCATTTCAGACCAGGTACGGTCTGTACGAGTTTGTGGTGATGGCCTTTGCAATGCTCCTCGCACCTTTCAGCACGCTATGAATCGGATATTCCATGACTACTTGGATAAGTTTGTCGTCGTGTACCTCGATGACATACTTATTTTTAGTAAGACTGTCGAGGAGCACATAGCACACTTAGACAAAGTTCTCAGACTCCTGCGACAACACAAGTTCAAGATCAACGGTGAAAAGTGCGAGTTTGGCCGCACCCGTATCTTGTACTTGGGTCATGAGATCTCCGCGGAAGGGTTAAAGCCCGATGACGCGAAGGTGGCCAGCATTCGCGATTGGCCACGTCCTCTGTCTGTGACTGAGATGAGATCTTTCTTAGGAATGACAGGCTATTATAGAACTTTCGTGAAGAACTATAGCATAGYGGCCGCTCCTTTGACTGATCTGACCCGCCTTGACACCCCATGGGAGTGGACAGATAAGTGCGAGGCTGCTTTCAGACATCTGAAGCATGCATTAACGCACTATGAAGTCTTGAAACTTCCTGATCCTGACAAGCCGTTCATAGTCACCACGGATSCCAGCCAATACGGCAYTGGCGCCRTGCTCRCGCAGCAGGAGGGGCCAAAGTTGAGGCCAGTTGAGTACATGTCTAAGAAAATGCCATCTCAGAAGTTGGCTAAGTCCACTTATGAGAAGGAACTCTATGCGGTGTACAAGGCTCTCACCCATTGGAGACACTATCTCCTTGGGAGGTTCTTCATCCTCAGAACTGATCATCAGACCCTGAAATGGATGAGAACCCAGCCGGTACTCTCTGACGCTCTCAAGCGTTGGATCGAAGTTATTGAGCAATATGACTTTGACCCTCAGTATCTAAAAGGGGAGTATAACAAGGTTGCTGACGCCCTGTCGCGCAGACCAAACTTCTCAGGTGCGTTGATTACTGAGTTCAGTCTCACGGACAACGTTACTCAATCTTTGGTGGAAGCCTATCGCGAGGACCAGTTTATGTCTGAGATCATACGCAGACTTGAGGCGAAGGACAAGAAGACGTCCGCCGAGTTTGAGTTRGTYAATGGCTTGYTGTTCCTTGAGAAGGCAGGGAATAAACGATTGTGTGTTCCCAATAGTGAGTCTTTGCGTAGTTTGTTTCTAGGTGAGTGTCATGATGCCACCGGTCATTTCGGGTATAAGAAGACCGCAGCCAACATGCTGCAGCGATTCTGGTGGCCCACGATGATGCGAGATGCACAACTGTACGTGGAGACTTGTCAAGTTTGTCAACGGGACAAGCCCCGTATTCAGGCTCCTCTTGAGTTGCTCAAGCCCCTTCCGATTCCGGAAAGGCCAGGTGAAAGCTTGTCCATGGACTTCATGGATACGCTGGTCACCATCAAGAGTGGGATGAGGCAGATCTTCATCATCGTGGATAGCCATGCCGGAAACAGCGAAGACCAAGTATGTAATCAGGCTGTTCAAAGAGAACTGGGTGAGGGATTGCCTAAGTCTATTGTAAGTGACAGGGATGTCAGATTTACAAGTGAATTATGGAAGGCCGCTGCAGTTGAACAAGGAACTCAACTGCAAATGAATTATGGAAACCATCCAGAAGCAAACGGCAAGGCTGAACAGATGAACTGCGTTGTTCAACACCTGTTGAGGCATTACATTAAGCCCAACCAGGTGGATTGGGACGAGAAGCTTGCTCTTGTCGCCAGTCTGTACAATAACGCTGTACACAGCGCAACCGGGGTAAGTCCTAACAGTCTACATCTTACCTTTAGGCCTAGACTGCCTTTAGACTTCCTACTTCCTGATAACCAGCCAACTGTTACACCAGGCACTTTGGAGTTCGCTTATCGTTACGAACAAAAAATGCAGGAGGCCGTAGAGCACATGCAGAAGGCGCACGCAGCAATGATAGAATCTGAGAATAAACACCGCCTCCCTTTTACATTTCAGGTTGGGGACAGAGTCTGGGTCAAGTCTTCAGAACTGGGACAGGAGTTTGGGATATCCCGCAAACTCATGCCTCAGTACTTTGGACCTTGGGAAGTTTTAGACGTAGTAAGGACAGATCCTGATGGCCCATCTTATGTCATCCGTATCCCTGGTCATCTCAGAACTCACCCAGTCTTTCACGCCTCTAAGCTCGCTGCATTCGAGGAAACTGATCAGTTTCCCTCTCGTCGGTCAATGCTGCCCCCAACCATGGACGGAGAAGTCGACATCGATGATATCGTCGACCATAGGGAGATGCCCGTTCAGAAGCCTCCAGGAAGGGGACGTCCTCCAAAGCCAAAGCTGCAGTTTCGTCTCCACTTCAGACATCACACAGATCTGAAGGAGGACCGCTGGTTTACTAGGGAGGAATTGATGCAGACCGCTCCTCAAGTCGTTGCACGCTATGAGAAGGATGTATTGAAAGGAAAGCGCCAGATGGCTCAGGATTGATCTTCTCAGAGGACTAACGAAGATATGGAGGTGGGAATGCGAGGCTACGCCCGCTCAGCCCCCTCGGGGCCCTTTTTGCAGTATGTCGGCCGCCCTAAGTGAAGGCAGGCGCGACAGGCCCTCAGGGCCTCGATTTTCAGGGTAYCCCGCAACTGGTGAAATTCAGACAGTTGCGCTGCGCCAGTTGGTTGAAGGCRCCCAGGCCCAGGCCATATTTTGCAAATGTATCTGGATGGGGACSTGGGCCAGACTCGTGGAAAAGGYYGTGAGCAGGCCAAGGGCARTTGGGCACATGTAACCATCAGGCCCTGGGCCTGCGTGTGAGGTCTRGGCCTATGCCTACCGGGGGCTACCGGAATCTTCCTGGACTGGACGCAGGCAGGCCACTTCGATATAGGRAAGGGCMTGCCTCCTCATTCGGCATTCGGGTGCTGGCTGCATGYTGCGCGAGCGCTGCTGCRCTATTTGCTGGCTGGCTGGCACTCACGCTCTCACGGGCGAGCAAGGAGTAGCGGGCAGCCATAGCCGAGCTGCTCCTCTGTGAGCTGGGTGTGACGCAGGGTGGTCCTTGGGTGCAAGTGGCATCTGTGTGAAGTGTTGGATATGCTCTTACGTTCTTGCGAACGCCTCTACTATGTAACATTACGTTACATCAATTGGACAAATACGCGCAGATGACTTTGTGATAGGCATTACCGGCCCTCTTCCTGACGCAATTGAGATACGTGATCTTATATCGACCTTTCTAAGTACGCTCGGACTAGAGCTAAACAAAGAAATTAAGATATCACATATTGATTCCGGATTCTTCGTCCTAGGTACCCAAATATCGCGTGGTAAAAGCAGAAGGTACGAAAGAAGGAAAAGATTGGTGTTGCATGCACCCATCAGGAATGGATCGGGGTTGTGAGTGTTGCGAGAGACATACCTGGTGTTGGAAGCGTGCGGCATTGTCCGCTGTATGCTCGTACTTCGGGGAGCTGTTGTTGTCAACATCGGCATTGTAGTATTAGGCTAGATAGGATCTGCCACAAGTAGTCTGGGCGYCGAGCGCCAATAGGATATCAACTCTTGTTCTTCGTTGATGATGATGAGAGACTATTTCAGCATTGTCAATTACGAACTACTGGTGTGTTCTGATTTGGTGAATCTCGTGATGCATGACTGCTGTTGGTTCGAGGTCAAGACTATCTGGACACATATGTATGATGCTGTTTGATTGCTGGAGTTCGCTAATGCTCATCTTCCTTGCATTTTTTATACTTTTTGACTTGTAACTCAAGTTTGGTTAGGAATTCTGACATGGCTGGCTGCTAGAATTATGAGGATAACGGATAAATGTTTCCACATAGACCAGACAGGGTTTATCCCGGGATGCTACATATTAGACAATGTGCTCACTCTGAATGAAGCACTCAACAAAGTTAGGCAAAGAAGAATAAACACAGCCATACTCCTTTTCGATTTTGAGAAAGCGTACAATCAAGTCAACTGGTCCTTTATGGACGCAAGCATTGAACGCACGGGGGTGGGGCCAATCTTTAGAAAATGGGTCCAGACCCTGTAGAACGCTGCTTCTGGTTGCATGCAGATCAATGGCTTCTTGTCTGACAGCTACCCAATCTCACGCTCAATAAGGCAAGGGGACCCGCTCGCTCCCTCAATCTTCCTATTTGTGATGGAGGCCATCGCCTCCTTCCTACGGAAAGACCCGTCCATACACAGGCTCCCAGAAGTCAATGTAGGGACGTCTCACCATCTCAGTTTTCCGACAATAACTTTGTTCGCTGATGACATGACAGTACTGATTAGAGCGTCAGATTCGTCCTTTAAAGCATTGTCCAGGGCAATGGAAGCTTTCAGACTGGCATCGGAAATGAAAATCAACTGGAAGAAGACCATAGGTTGGTGGCTGTCGGACGAACAAATCTGAAACTTGCAAGGGCCGGAGGCGGACATGACTTGGGACACACCGGAAGCCCCCACCCGCTATCTAGGCATTCTCATGACACGGGATGGGCTGGCACCTCAGATGGCCCAGAATATGCTGACAAAGCAGCTAATCAAGCTGGGAAGATGAGGTGATACCTTTACCTCACTGTTCGACCGGGTCTTGGTTCTTAACACTTCAGTCTTCTCCATGATGTGGTGCATTGCGTCAGTGTGGACAATTCCGGATGACTCACTTAAGGAACTAAATCGGGTGGCGAGAACATACCTCTGGACGGGCAATCCGAATAAGGAAAGTTGTATCCCAAAAATAGCATGGCAGTACATCTCACGAAAACCCATACAAGGGGGTTTAGGCATCATTGACCCGAGGTGCAAGACGAGAGCCTAGTCAAATGGATAGTCCGGCTGTTGATGAAGCCAGGTACGACGTGGAACGAGCTGGCGCTGGACAGCATAAGGGCTCTAGCTCCGGTACCATCGCCGAGTAACATGTCGGGCCTATTCTGGGTAATGAACAAGGAATGGTCGTTGAAGAAGGTGAGAAGAAGATCCAGGAGAGAAGTAGAACATAATATAGAGAACCACGACAGCCATTTGTGGTCTAAGAACAAGGGTTCGTCACTTTCGGATCTCAACCATTCATTGCCAAAGGAGAGAAGGTTAACCGACCCCCCGTTTTTCAGGTCGATTTATAAGAAAACCATAAGGCCATTTCAAGCAAACTCCACACCAATGTATAGAGTGCACTTCTTACTAACATATTTAAAAAAAAAAAAAACCAAAAAAAAAAAAAAAAAAACACATAAAACAGCAACCCAAAAGTGCATTTTCAGGCAATTTTGGCATGAAACACGTCATCCAAATTTCAGGATTTCCAGGCCTCCCAACAGCACAAAATTCACAAATTCTAATAACCCAAATAATACCAAATTTGGCAGACAGCAACCTTAAACCAAAACAAAAACAGGCAAAAAAACAAAAAACCAAAATACATCACTAATCTGGTCCCTCAAGAGTGGAAAGACATACTGGCACAAGGAAGGGGACTGGAGAAGTGGAGACTGGGGGGTCAAAGTGCAGGAAAACCCTCCCTCTAGGGCTTTTCAGTTCTCACACTCACAACAAGGTGCAACTACACAAACAGTGTTCACCTCCTTTCAGGTTGCACACTCCGCAGAGGGAATGCCGTCGATCATAAACACCAACGTCGAAACTATAATCATGGACTGCTTTCTTCTCAGGAAAGTAAGAGTGTTAGGAACGTGGCCGAAAAGCATCTACAGATTCGACACGGCGCTGCGAAACTTGGAGTTTGATCCGGGGGAGTGGGCATGGAAACCAGACAAGAAGGCAAGCATTAACAGGCTCACACCCATACAGGACTACACGGTCAAATTGGGTTATAAACTATTGCTAAAAACAAAAGACCCAGATCCGGTTATCAAAGCCAGGTGGCAGAGACTGTTAGGTCAGGAATCCGACAACATCACACAAATCCCGTGGAAAATCTACAAAGCGATCAGACCAATCAAAATCAGAAGCCTCCAGTGGCTAATAACATATGCGGCATTGCCAGTTAATCAATAGTTGCATGTTAGGCGGAAAGGTTCAGACCCAGACAACTCGGATCTATGTAAGGTATGCACGGAGAATGCAGCAGAGCACATAGTACACTGCCTAGTACACTGTAGGGAGGCGACGGACTACTGGGCAAGAGCCTCGACCCTCTGGGACTCCCTGTTCCCTTCCCCTTTTCCTTAAAAACCCATCCAAATTCTTCTTCTTATTAACATCCCCCAACAACCCCGGAAAGCGGAAAAAGTCTGGTATGGGCTGATCAGGAAGGTGACCCTCTAGGTCATATGGAAGGAGAGATGCAGCAGAACGATCGAGAGAGTATCCAACTCACGCGAGTTGATCTGGGCGGAGACGAAGACAATGATTCAGGCAGAAATTCTCTGCAGATGGCGGAGGATTAAACAGTCATGGTCGGAAGATGAGGAACAACGCAAGAAGGTCAGACAGATTTTCAGCAAGGTCTGGTTGGTAGACGGCGAAGTAGCTGACTTGAGGGACGACCACATTCGATGGAAGGATTGGCACAACTCAAGGGCAGGAGGAAGAGAGGGGCAGCAGAGAACGGCGCAGGGACAAGGCTCCCCCGTTTCAGAACTTTAAAGAAGAAGCTCCCAACGTGTGCCATCACTTCCGTGGAGGCGCAGCTAGAGACTGTGATAGGCCTAGGAAAGGCTGAAGTACGCAAGGAGAGGTGTCAAGTATCACCTCAAAGTGAGGGCAGGGTTTAGGTTTTAGGCTTTCTCAGTAGAACTCAAAGAAAGGGGGAGGGGAGGGTTTAACGGGACAGGGGTTTTCAGTAACTCAAGGACAGTGAGGATGAGGGGGTCAGCACGGGCGCACAGAAGTAATGGGCGGGCTCCTTCTAGTAGTAACAGTAATATCTGGCAGAGCTGATGTGCAGGTCTGAGAGAAGGGAGCGTGTCAAGGCAAGCTGACAGTCAATCCTCCCCCAACAGGGGAGCAATCAATGCTGATCAGGGGTCCTCCGGCCGAACGGGAGGAAGCGTGAGTCTTCCCTTTGTGATGTGTTATATGTTGACTTGCCGGTGGAATAGGAACCGGACTGACGCTCCCCAAAATAGGAGTAAAAAGGAATTCTGACATGACTCTGAGGCAAAAGTGGTTTGCATTGTTATTCTGCATAGCATACTTTTTTTTCAGATTTTTTTATTTTTATTTTTTTTAATGGTCCGGACATTTCCGGACCTGTCCAGACATCCGGACCGTCCAGATCCCCCCATGTCCGGAGGTCCGAAAATGTCAGGAATTCCGGACGTCCGAAAACTACCGGACACGGGTCCGGTTCCATGTCCGAAAATGTCCGGGTCCGGGTCTGGCGTAGCCGTGCTATATACCACATGATCAAGAAGATCGACGTGTTAATAGTTAGCGCGCGGCCGAGTAGGGAAGTGAAGGTGTTACCCCACCTGCCCGTTTTATTAATTTGTTTGGTCAAAACATTTTGGGCCATCTGAAAGGCAAAACCCTCCTCTGTCATCAGGATCCCAAGATATCGTGTGGGTGTCTCAGGCGTTTCCCAGGTCATTGCTG